GCTTTATAAAATTTTGTAACCATAATTTACAAAAAAAAAAAAACAGAGCGAACGGAATGAGCGGAACTACTTACACACACACACACGAGATGGAGATGGAGTTGGAGTTGAAGGAAGAGTAAATTGTTTTATCAGTGGATTATAATTCCACCTTCCACAGTCATGCTCTCTCTCCCTGCCCATCGGCCAAGTGTGGGCCCATTAAGCGATACATTATAATTAAGGGGAACAAGCAGCGTCGAGCAGCTGCTGCCGGCTTGATAACGCGCCTGTAAGACAGCAACTAAGTATAAGTGCGCATACGGCATACCCAGTCCGAGTCCCGTTCGAGTCCCCGTTCGAGTCCCATGATAACATCATCAATGGGGGCCCCACATATCTCTCCTATGCAATTACCTAAATTATATGCATAGCTGCCACAGTGCTGATGTTGCTGCTGCTGCTGCTGTTGCTGCAGTTCGTTTAAAATGAAATTAGTATTATGCACTTTTCCCCCCCCTCTCTCTCTCTCTCTCTCTCTGTCTCAAGCTACACCTTAAAGTCTATAATCAGTTTTTGTGTGTGTGTGTGTGTGTGTGTGTGCGGACCAACCATCAACTTCTCTCTTCGCGCAATTTGTCATGTTTGCAGCAGCAACCGGTGGCCATCTCCAAACACCATCGCATGATATCGCTTTGGCGGCTCTGCTAATCATTTTTTGATATGGCCAATAATTATAGACATATTCCAACCATTCGCTGCCCATCCATCCATCCATGCATCCATCCATGCATCCATCCATGCATCCATCTGCCCCGTTAAAGGTTCCAAAGATAAGATTTTAATGGTTTTCCATTTCCATTTGGCTCTTATGACTATAATTGATTGACTGTTGTGGTGCTGTGGTGCTGCGGCAGTTCCAAACAGGAAAATGAGGCGGTCTCAAAGCCAGGGACTGGGCCTGGGCCTGGGCCTGGGCCTTGTGCCCTTGCCCGAAGGTGTGAGAGTGGATAAATGGGACATAAACACGAGAGAGATAAGGTGGGAAACCCCTGACAGGGAGCAAAGGTGTTTCCAGTGTTGATGGGGCTTGAGGTAAATGCTAAAAAAAAAACAATTGGTGCCTAATTATATTACATAGGAGTATGCTTAATATATTAATTTATGGTAGAAAATATAATGTAGTTCTAGATGGGCTTAGGTTAATAAATAGTTAGCTGACTTTTTTTTTTTAAATGACAGCTGCACACTTGATGCTCCAGAGATGATTAAAATGGAAAACTTTTTTCTGTTTAATTCTACTAATATTAGAGAAGAAAAAATAAAAGGTTTTATGGTTGCAAACTTCGCATAAGAGAAAGAGGAACCTAGAGTTCATACAATGAAACCTCTTTGTTAGGCTGATTCTTAAGCTTTAATCTGTTTTGTTCAGCAAAGCAAATATCCACCTTGAAATGCGGTAAAGAAACATAAATTTATTGATCGTATTACACAATTTATAGAGCTGTTCATTCAAAGGGAAGCAACATGTCAGTAGAGCGACGGATTTCGACTGTTCTTTTGTGTAAAATGATTCGCATTAAGACCATATTAAGTATCAAATGTATTAAAATTCAACAAGAGCTTAAATATCAAACCTATTTAAATAAAACATGAACAGAGTTTGAATATCAAATATTATAATGAAATAAATTATAATATAATAATAATATTAAAATTGAATAATATGATATATAATTATAAATGATTATAATAATAATTATTATTATGATAAAAATTTTACCCAGCAAAAAGATCAGATCATACCCTTTTCATCTGCTGGAAAAAAAAACCAATTTAAATTTATGTAATTACTCCTGTTGGGACACATTTTTGGGGGCACTTTCTAAAGACCAGTATGGGGCATAGCAGTAGATCATAAAGGGGGTATAATCAACTGCAGGCTGCCATAACTGCATAGCACTTAACACACTGCACAGACATACCCGGGAACTGCACTCCTATGGCCATCGTTCACAGCCTACGTTCCACGTTCCGTTCCATCATTAAGTCGAACAGACAATTTGTCAAATGAAACAAGAAAATTTGCATAAAAAACTAACAAACAACTAACATTAGACACACAACAGCAACAGCAACAACAGCAACGGCAACAACAACAGCAACAACAACAGGCACACAACAAAATTTGCATGTCTGACCGACTGAATGTTGGCCAACGATTCAACGAGGCAGCACACAAACAGGCAAGGCAAGGCAAGACAAGCTGCTACCAGGCAGCAGTGGCAGCAGCAGCAGCAGCAAATAACAATTTTCCACACACACACACACACGAAACTGGCCGCGAGAAGGTGCACCACGAGACGGGGTCTGGTCTCTGTCTCTCACCCTGTGGACACGTTGGCCCATGCGAAGTCTCGTAGGCAAGCTCTGTGGCTCCTAGCTGCGGCTCTAGCTGTGGCTCTAGCTGTGGCTCCTAGCTGCGGCTGTGGTAACACAGAAGCAGTGGACGAAGTGCAATTACCAAAAGCGCGCCACAGAACCAAACCCAGGCAGGCCACCAGATATCAAAGGAGATCGGGCCAAAGAGCCAAAGCAGCAGCAATGCTGCCTTGTTGTTGTTTCGTTTGTTGTACATTTTGTTGGCTTTTATTGTTGCTGTTGTTGCTGTTGCTGTGGCCAAACAACATGTGCGTTTGTGTCCGCAACGATTAAGTAAAAACAATTTACACGCCTGCCTGCCAAGTAGGCCCCCAGACCGCAGAAGGACGTCCACGAAAAAGAGGCACTAAACGCAATGTTAGAGATGAGAGTAGCCAACAAAATGCAACTAAATCCAAGGTGGAATAAGCAACACCAAGTGTGCCCCATATGCCCCATAGCTGCAACGTGCCCGAGTCGCGTGAGCTGCTTAAATGGAGAGCTCCTCTCTAAGGCAAGTGCAAGTCCGGTCCTTGGCGTTAATATGCGTCGCTCTGGCTTAGCTTGTTGGCCAAGTTACTACGTTTCACCTGGCTGTTGTTGTCTGTCTGCATGTTAGTGCTTCCTTTTTGGCATCGGCAACATGTCAATTATATCGTATCAAATTAATAATTGTACACGTCGCGCCGCATTGCACGTCTTCGCCCCATTCACCAAATGAAGTTGGGTTTTTTTTGAAAGGAGAGAGAGAGCTATGGGCATAGCTGCCTGGCATCCTCCGCCTGTGCTCGGATCTCTTGCCTGCTTAGTGGTTTGCCTGTTTCGGAGCGGTGCCTCTTGTGGAGCGGTGTGTTGCGCCTTGTGCCTTGGTTGGCCTGCTGCCGCTGCTTGCCACTAATCGTGGCAGACAGGCATGCTGAACGGCCCCGCAAATGTAATATATTTTAAGTTACCTGTCAATTTTGGATGCTGTTAAGCGTTGCTAACACGCCATGTTTGCCCCGAGTGTATTCGAATATCAAACTGAAATGTGTGCTGCTGCTGTACGTACGTATACTTATGTGCCCCAATGTGTTGGTTAATAAGTGCATGGAAGGAGTGTGAAATTAAAACTAAAATCTTGCGCTGCAGCATGTTTGTTGATTTCGTTTTAAATGCCAATTTTATGGCTCACTTAATGGTGTGTAAAACTGAAACTAACCTGAATAACATTTTGTTTGGAATGCGGCCACAATTGCCGTGAAATTCTCCGGCTGGGGCTGAGTATTGTCTCTTAAATGTTTTAATGTCTTCTTTTTGCCATTGATCTTCTTAAATCCGTGCACCGATCAGCTGTGACTGCTATTGTGATCAGGTTGGCAGCCCCATCGCGTCATAGCATAAGGGCGAAAACATAACATATGGGCGAAATCATAACATAAGGGCGAAATCATAACATTACATATCTAACAGGGCAAAAAATAGTCGGCAAAAAGGAAGAAGACGGAAAAACAGTCGGCAAAAAGGAAGAAGAAGAAGAAAAAAGTCGGCAAAAAGGAAGAAGAAGAAGAAAAAAGTCAGCCAACCGGAAGAAGAAGAAAATTCGGCAAAAAGGATAAAGGAGAATTGAATTTTGCATTGGTGTGGTGTGTGTTGTGTTGTGTGGTGTGTGGTGAACTTACCGATTTTTGAATTTTGTGTGTTGGATTTCCCCTTTTTGAATTTCGTTATCTTTTGCTGGGGTGTGCTGTGGTGAATTTCTGTGATTTGAAAATTTGAACTTTAATTTAGTTGTTTCGCGCAAGCACAGCCAAATAATGCAATTAATCAGGCGATTTTAGTGGCATTATTGAATCACAGCAATCCAGATGGACGCACAAAACTGGTTAAAGCCTTTTAGAGCTGCTGCTGCTGCTGGTGCGATGTGTCTGCGTCATTTAGTTGTCTGTGGCCAGGGGAAAACAAAAAAAAAAAACATTAAGACAAAATCAAAAGCGAAACGGTAATTATCTTCTGACAGCACTTAAGTTGAATTTGGTAATGACAGTCGGGCTAAAGATCGGGGCAACACACCGATAAAAGCGGCGCTTTAACTTAACTGACAGTTGAGGCTAAAGAGTGGCCGATTAAATTGACAGTCAGTCTGTCAGGCGAGGCGAGTGTGTGTTAAAATGCGTGTCCAACCAGAGACCAGAGACCAGAGTGTGTGTCTCTCTCTTATTCCGAGCCGAGCCGAGCCGAGCCGAGCAAATACTCGCACTCGTTGTGCGATCAATAACACACAGATCTTGGTGTTTCTGGAGCATGTCAGCCGGAGCCGGCCAACATGACGCAGATAAATGCCTTGAAATGTTATTTATGGTGGTATGGTGATTCATTTCTTCACTTAAAGTTGGCGGGAAACCCGTTGAATCATCTATTTAGCTGTCTATTCGGCTATAAAGAGTGGTCTTGCTGCTGACTAGCCATACAATTGGCTTAAAAAATTCAGAAAAATCGAAAATATTGATTAAAATGTATATATAAAATAATATAATATTGAATATAATATAAAAAGAATGCAATTGAAATTCAATTGTTACTGCCACAGGCCCAAACAAACATTTTTGAGGCATAGCCTTAGAATAAACATTCACTTTTCACATTTTAAAATCTTTTTCAAAAAGTTCCTCGACAAACTGCAAAAAATTTCCAATTCAAATTCAAATTTAAATAGCGCGAATCCTCCACACGAACTATCGGCCAGTGCACATCTCTAGAGTCTCGACTGGCTGCAATGTTGTTACCTGCTACTAAGATGTCGATTTTAGAAAGGGATGGGGGAACCTGGTGAAAGGCGCCAAAAGAGTTTGCCGCGAAAAGCGAAAGGGCGAAAGACAGAACAGAACAGAACAGAACGGAAAGAACAGAACAGAAGGAAGGCAGAAGAAGCGCACTCGCAGCACAGCACGCTTTTTTAGCCCGCATTCAAATTGAGTATTTGCCATCAAGTGAAAGTTTATTTCCAGCTGATCGCTCGATCGCCCCCGAATCCTACAGCTGCTATGGCCTGCAAGCGGCTGATGCTCGACGATGGCGAACCCGATGAGAGTTTTAGCTTCGATGTGGAGAATCAGGAGAATATAGCGCACAACAATGTGGCGAAGCGGCACAAGGGCCAGCTGGAGACGCCGCTGCATCGTATGCTCAAGCGGCACATGCCCGCCAATGCCGCCACCGCATTGTCGCCCATCACCGAGCTGTCGTACAATATGCGCGGCGCCCGTCTGAATGAGGGCGGCGGCGGCGGCGGCGGCGGGTGCACGCCCAAGTCCACCAACAGTCTGCGCACCTTCAATAGCATCAACAGCATCGCCTCCAGCTACGATTCGGGCAACTCGCTGGACGACGAGTACCTGCACATGTTCGAACTGGACCAGAGGGATGCCGTTGGCAAGCATGCCGTGGGCTTGCCCGACGATCTGGAGCTGCTGATCACTGGCCAGCTGAAGACGGACCACATCGCGCAGATCGGCGCAGAGCCACCAAAGCAGCACCGTTCGGCACGTCGCTGCCTGAGCATGCTGCCCGTGGACCCGGCGGAAGAGGACTCCAATGGTAGCAGCGTGTCCGTGGCAAGCCATAAGTCGCCCAACGGCACTGGCACCGGCAACGCCACACGCATGCTGCAGCGCAGATCAATGTCGATGAACGATGCCGACATACTCACGGCATTGGGCGATGAGCCCGAACTGATTGGCGATCTGAGCAAACCGTGTGCCCTGCCCTGCCTGATCACTGGCACCCGTCATCAGGACCTGAAGACCATTTCGTGTGACACACTGGCGCGCCTGATCAGTGGGGATTTTGGCGAGCAGCTGGGTAACGACTGCTACCAGATCATCGACTGTCGCTATCCGTACGAGTACGAGGGCGGGCACATACGCGGTGCCCAGAATCTGTACACGCGGGCGCTCATCAAGGAGGCCTTTCCGGCCGTCGCAACCAAGCAGCTGCAGCTGCCGGGCCAGCGTCACATCTACATCTTTCACTGTGAGTTCTCATCGGAGCGCGGACCGAAGCTGTTGCGCTTTCTGCGCAGCAACGATCGCAGCCAGCACACGCACAACTATCCGGCCCTGGACTATCCGGAGCTGTATCTGCTGCACAACGGCTACAAGGAGTTCCACCATCTCCACGCGAATCTCTGTGAGCCCAGCGACTATGTGCCCATGCTGGCGCCCGCCCACAACGAGGAGTTTCGCCACTTTCGCGCCAAGACCAAGTCATGGCAGTGCGGCGATGGTGACGGCGCGGACAGTGGCATTGGCGGTGGCGGCAGCACTGGATCTCGCACACTGCGCAAATCACGTTCCCGCTTGCTATACTCCGAGTGAAAGGAGTCGCCATCCCCATTACACCCCGCCATAACAGTAATTATTCTAAAACAAAATTAATCGCTAGGATTGAAAGGACGCAAATTTGTAGTTTCGTTTCGTTTCGTTGATTTTTGTTCAAATGTTGAGTTTTTCCCTTTGATATTTAATGTTTATTCGTATTTCGATTTCTAGTTTAGAGTTTATAAAAACACACACACACACACACCCACACACACAAAGAAAAATAGCATAAAGCAAAGGAAAAGCCAAAAAAAAAATAGGAAAAAAAAGAAATGTTCTCTAGTCAGTGAAAGTGAAAATTTCGAATTGAATTTAGTTGATTTGTTTGTGTTCGGCATTTAAAAGTTTAGTTTTTTCTTAGTTCATGTATTTCGTGTTTAATTTTAGTTGTAATCCATTGAATTTGTAAAGCAAATGTTCACCCAAACCAAAACAAAAACCAAAACCCAAATACAAGTTTAAGCCTTAAAGGGAATGAAGCCTAAAAACTATTCAACGTTCTATTTGATATCACACAATTTTTCAATTTGCGATTAAAACCCATTAAGCTTTTGGTTCTGAAAATGTATAACAATTCCAGAAATATCTACCAATATTTCTATGAATTAATTGCAACCGAAATTTTAAGTTTAAGGGACTTAAAATTATTGAAATGATTGCTCAAAATAAAAGCATAAAAATCCGAGATTATCAGAATGAAAGTGTCTATAAAATAGAACAGGAAAAGAATATTATCTTAAAAAATTAATTTAAAAAGTATTACACATATTGAACATTGAAATAATAGAGTTTAAAGAACTAATATATAATTAAGAATGCACGCATTGATTTTTGTACAACTCAACGATATATAGAAGAAAATTATTTAGTTTATGTGTTAATTTAAAAAAAGGATAAACAAGCTCCAAACTAATATTCTTAAAAATAAATACACAAATCATGTAAAATATGTGATATTTTTTTGATAATAATAATAAGATATGTATGAACCAGGAAACCTCTAAAATAAAATATAATTTGAACAATATATATAACCAATTATACAGTTTTTGGAGATCTAAGATAAGCGAAAATTTTGAAAAACAGTTTTTTTGTAATTTAAAAATCTTTTCTTAAACTCTAAATATTTCAATAAATAAAAATACAATTTGTAAACATAGTACATAAAATAACAATGCATGGATTATATGGAGTATATCTTTGAAAATTGTTCCAACTTAAGTGAATAATTTTAAGAAGTCTCAAAGCCATAGAATATATAAAAGAAAATGTAAAAATGACATGCGGGCAGTATATATAAATCACGTTCAACGACTTGCGATTACAGATGTACCTATAGTACATTCATATAGTAGGGAAATCCAATGATTCCATAGTCCCAAATCAAGTCTCCTACTGATAGCAACAGCTGTGATTTCAGTTCACGTCTAGGGTAACATGATAACCTTGTCCACCTTCTTAGAACCTGAGAACCCTGGAAATCAAAAAGTGGATCGGAGGGCAGCACTCGCCTTTCAAACGAAGACATACTACTCAATTTCCTTGTATATAGATATAGATATTTCTAATCTCCTATTTGACAACCCAAGTGACTCCACACGTTCACTCATGCTCCCAAGGTACATCGCATTGTATTCTTTTTCGTTTAAAAATATAAAACGTCTTTTAATATTACCTTTTTTTTTGAATAGATGGAAATACACAAAAATTATAATTTCAATGTAAAATATTTTTGAATTGAATGCCAAAGACACTTTTTATATTCGAGGAATTTCAGAAACACCTGTAGCATTTCTATGCAACGCATCTCAAATGTTCAAATGTATTTAATTTAATTTACAAACCAAGAGAATTGTTTGCCAAACTTATTTGTATGCCACAGACTTAACGAGAACGTAAGAGAAAATGTACGAAAAGCTGCAGGCAATGGAGTGGTGGTGGGGGCTTCAGTGGCGGAACTGCTGTCCGCCTAGGCATCGGCTGGTGGATTGAAGGGCGCCTTGCAGCCAGCCTTGTTGTAGAACTCCAGGGGCACATCATCGTCGTTCTCGAAGAAATCCGAGTCGCGTGACCAGCAGGGACCCAGCTCCAGCTTAACGATCTTCTCACGCCAAAAGTCGAGCAGCTCTTTGGCCAGCACCTCATCGCGCAGCTTGACAATCCATTCGTTGTAGTCCCAGGGGCCATAGAAGCCGGAATCGGTTTTGTACTCCTGCAGCAGATCGGCCGCGCTGTCCTGGTCCTCTTGGGAGGGCTTGCCCTCGAACAGTATCTGCCAGATGATGTCCTGGGCCGCCTTGGCGATCTTCTTGACGCTGGCCTGCTGAATTTCATCGGGTACAATGACATCGGTCAGCACAAAGCGCGACATGAGGTCGCGGTATTCGCTAAGAGGCTGATTCCGAGTTATTACGGCGTCGAACACACCCGTGAAGGCGGCCTCATCGTCGGCACTGCGCTCTGCAGATCTCTCCTCACCCTCAGGCGCCTCCCTGGATGACTCCGGATCGGAGGCATCCGATGCACGGATCTCATTGTTGGCTGCTCGCACCTTGAGGCTGGCCGCAAACGGCGCTGTGCATCCACCATGGGCGTAAAACTCCAGCGGCGGCGTATCACTGTCACTGTCAAACAGATCACAGTCGCGCGACCAGCACGGCCCGAGCTGCTTCTTAACTATTGTGTTGCGCCAAAAGTCCAGCAGCTCTTTGGCCAGCACCTCATCCCGCAGCTTGCCAATCCATTTGTTGTACTCCCACGGATCGTAGAATGTGGCATCGCCTTTGTATTCCTCCAACAGCTCTGATGCCTTCTGCTGTGACTCAGTGGTGACGCCGCCGTCGCCGTCCGTGCCGGCAAATAGCAGCTGCCAGATGACGTCACGCGCCGCTGCAGCTATACCTTCGAAATTATTCTTGATGATCTCATCGTCCACAATTTCATCAACTTGCACCTTTGTCTCTATCAGCTTCTGATAGTCCTTCAGTGGCTCTGCCAAGCCAATGTTAAAATTTGTCTAAAAAAAATGCCGAAAAATAGCAAAGCTCTGTGATAAGCAAATCTTTGTTTTGAAAATAAGTGTATTTTACTGCGTACCTTGGTGCTGATTTTCTCTGCACCTGCTGCCATGTCGGTGCTTGTATCCTCGGCTTTGCGTTTTGACATTCCCTCTGAACTGTTGTTTGTACAATTAATATAATTTTCTTCCTTTTTGGCGAAATTTTTTGCGTCTTGAACTTTGTCAACCATCGAAGGCACTATCGATAGTATCGATGTTTTTCTGCTAGCCGCTACTATCGATGATTTTGCGACTATCATGATAGTACCGAGCTACAGTCGGTGCGCTTTTGATATGTTTGGATTGGCTGCTCTAAAATACGAAGAAAAATTTGTAAACAAACTGACTGGTGACATCTAATTTTTACAATGGACAAGTTCCTAAAAGGTTTCAATGGTTGTTTAATAATTATTTCAGCCCGATACTATCACGATAGTATCGATTGTTTTTTCAAAACATTCGACGTTGATATTCCTCGATATTGATATTCCGTTTAATATTACCAGCTAGCTGGGACTCTCAGCCCTAAACAAATAATTTTATCCAATTCCTCAATGAATTTTGTTTAGGATTGGCTAGTTTTTAGAAGTCCTTTTTATTGGATTATTTACATATTAAGGTTCAAACAAAAACGGCCAAAGCATAAAACTTAAATGTTGACTAAATGTGACGTCAGTGCAAACTTATTACTTGATTCTTCCATAAATGCTTTATCAGTTTTGGAAGTCCCCATAACGATAGAAGGGCGCTATCGATTGTAACATATCGAAAAAAAAAAACATAATCGAGTCGAGCTATTTTATTTTATAACCTTATTTTGTAAAAAAAACCCAGAAAGAGAAATCTTGAAACTAGCCAATCTTGCGGAAAATTAATTCATCAGTCGGATAAAATTATATGTTTAGGGCTGAGAGTCTTAGCTTGCTCGTAATATTCAGCCGAATATCAAAATTCATGAATATGATTTCTGATCATGGACAGAGACCGATTAGCCAATTGTCGACCACTCACGAAAATGATGAAACTTGAAGAATTTTAGCTCAGTTCGGGTGCTAGATATCGTTTTTCTTATGTAAATAGAAGGAATGGATTGGATCTACAATAAGAATACAATTTATAAGAATCGAATTTCATGCTGTTTAACTCAAGTGGGGGGCTAGGTGGGCTAAGTTCGTTTCCTCCTCGGTATATTTACGGTATTTTCGAAACAAAAAAAGGTTTATTTCGGTATATTTCTGAGGGTCGTGCGGCATGTTTTATTGATAAATACGCGGTCACACTGGTTAGCAGGTCGCTTAAAATCATTGAAATTAATAAAATCAATTAATTGTGTAATACCAAGTGGCTAATACCATAAATCTGATCGGTTGTTGTTTTAGCCTTCAGTGATTTAACACCAAGAACCTCTGTTCCCTTTGATATTCGCCTCGCGCTGTGTCTGCCCAGTCTGGTGTGTGAGAGTGTGTGTGTGTGTGTACGTCTGTGCCACCAAAGAAATTTGAGGTTAAGCCCATTTTGACCACGGCAGCAGCTGAATATTGTGTTAATGTCGCCCACAAGCAATCAATTGCCAATTACATTTAACATAAAACACTTGTAAACTGAAATACGTAGTTTCAAAGTACAATAAAAGCTGATAAGCTCAATTGCTTTCGTGGAATTCGTGTGTCTGTGAGAATAGTCTCTGCTAGTGTGTGTACGCGCGTGTATTGTGCTGTGTGAGTGTACGTGAATTCAATTTTCTCGTGCGCCCAAAAAAGCAACGAAAAAGCTCCAAAAGTTATACTCAAATGTGTATGGCAATTGTGGTAAGTGTGTGGGTGTAAAATAAAAACCATAAATATATATTTTTATAATTTTAAAAGAGAACGTACAAAGCGACCCCAAGGCATACACGCATGCATACGCTCAGGGCAGCAGTGTATATGTATGTATGTCGCTGCTTGTGCGAATTTGCACGTGTGTGGACTTTTGTTAATTTCTTGTTATTTATGGCCAAAAATACTGCATTTATAGCTTTATTTATGAGAATTAATGTGTGGGAATTAATGTTTGAATGGAAATTACATTTTATGGGGGCTTTGTGCAGTAATAATGTCAAAATGTTGTGATTTTTGTGCTCTTGCTCTCTTACAGTCATGTGATTGTGTGGTTCACCGTTGTGTTTGTGTGCGTGCTGTGCAAAATCAAAACTCCTTTAGATTTTCTTTTAAAAATTGTGGAAAAAGTTGCGTTGCGTTATTAATGAAAGTACTTTTACTTTCATTGACCCCGGGAGCGCAGGAATTTGTTCATTTTGCCGTAAATGTAGGGCAGCAGTAAGAGTTGACCCAGTTTTGGCAAAAGTAGCAAAAGTATGAGGAAGTAGGACGGACGGACGGACAGCCTGCCCCAGATCTACTTTTGCATGGAGACACTCCTTTGATTTTGATTTAGTTTCTTGTTTTTGGCAACTTTCATTGCCTGCCTACGTCATTCGGGGCACGTTCTATAAGATCTATCTAATCTTTGGCAAGACTTTTTCAAACAGATTTATCATATCGCAAAGAGAAGAGAAAACCAACAAAGTCAGTATCAGGAGATAGATACGCTTTCAGCAAGCAACCCAAATCAGTGCTACATTTTATTCCAGTCGAAAGAGTTTAATTATTTTTATCATCAGTTATTCAACAGAGATTGGTGGGTAGGAGTACTCGTATTTTATTTAGCAAGTGCCTTTTCGCTTTTATCTCACATTTTTGTCGCATTCTGTCATTGTATTTATCGCAATAATGCTCGGTTGCTAATCGATTTGACGCGATTCCGTCGTATAAATCATATCAGTCGACTGGGCGGTACCCTCCTTTTTCCCCATTCAATTGCGTCAATTGGAATCCCCTTCTCATTGAAAAGGGAGCAGGGCGTGGAGCCAGAATTTCAATGGAAAAACAGAGTTAAAACCGCTCAAAAACAATTCACACAACACAAAATGTCTGTCTCTTTATTCTGTTTTATTTTGTTCTCTTTTTGGCTTCCGTTCTGGTTTGAATCACTCTGTTCTTTCTGGTTCTGTCCTTGAAAAAGTTCAATGATATTTTCTACACATACAAATAAAATCGGTGTGTATTTTAGTTGTTGATTTTCTCTTATTATTTATTCTTGATAAAGAAAAAAAGAACACACAAAATATAAAAATCATATCAAACATAAGAGAAATGTTGAACGAGCGAGATTTATCGAATATAATGTGCCTCTCCCCCACCCTCCCGTAAACAGCCAAAAATTGGGAACTAGAATAGTTTTAGTGGTTCCGAAAGCCGAAGTGTTGCATACCCTTTCATATGAATCGGCTGCCTGGTGGATATATGGTATATTTCTTCTGTAACTTTCTGTACCGAAAATAAGAAGATAAACCTCCTTAGTTAACAGAGTTAATATCTATATTAATTAGTAGTAGTTACGTTAGTGTTGAGTGAATACCAACGATACGCTTATCTCACACACATTTAAATATGAGCTCCCTGCTGTGAGTCACAAACTTCCCATCAACATTGATATACTTCTACTCCTATCCAAGGGTATGCAAAGATAGATAGAGATAAGGCATTGTACATAAGTGTGTGTGTGTGTGTGTGTGAGTACCCGCATGTACACAGAAGATTCCCCCTCCATGTTCTTTCTTCGCACTCTTTCTTTTGGGTTGGCTTTCGATTGCCGTTTTTTCTGGGTTCGTCTGCTTTATGCCAGTTTTTGAATGTGCCATATTCGCTTATGCACATACGCATAATTCGTAAATGTAGATGAATACATACTCATATACCAGTCCAGATAGATCAATTGAATCAATGGAATGTCGAATCAATTATGAGGCATCTTTTATGATCATTTAAATGGTGATCCATTTGCTTGCTCTCTTTTTTTTCGATTTATGAATTTATAATTTATAAATTTTTGCATATGATAAACATTTGTTTGAGATTTTGTTCATGTGCCACAAAATGTGCATTTCTTGGCATCAATGTAATCAGCATTTTAAATCTTGGTTTTCCCCTTGTTCTTATAGTCTCTGAGATTGCATCGTTTGTGCGGATGAATTAGATATTCTACACGAATACATAGTGAAACCCCCCTTTCAATGTAGCAGTACCTGTTATATTCGTAAACGCCTCGCTAATTAGACCTGTTAGATGCCACAGAATCTTCTAGTAGTAATCGTTTTCAAGACGCATTTTCCCCCTTCTGCATTTTACTGTGTTTACTGTTGTCACGTTTCGGTGGCTTATGTGCAGAAAATTTCACCATTTCCACATGTCATTCCTATAAATAGACGGGAAAGCCAAACGACAAAGCGACAAAACATGCAATACAAATCGCAAACGTCAGTGGGGGTGGGGGAGGAGAATGAATAGAAAATGGATGGGAGAAATGGGAAAATGTCTCCACCGACCACGCCCCATGCCCCATTACACACCACCCCCGCGCAACATCCAAACCAACTAACAACAGTTTCTGGTTTCTATATATAGTACAATAAATATTGTGTGTGAGTCGTTGTTGTTTTTTTTTTTTTTGTTATTGTCCCCGCAATAGTTTTGGCTTGCCCTTGTGCTTATGGCAAAAAGCACAATAAAAGGCACGTGGAAGAAGGCAACACGAATCACTAGGAGGAGGAGGAGAGGGAAGGAAAAATTAAGACAGAAATCTAGTATTTCGATTGTAGTCGATTATAGCATTCCCTGTACTTAGTTTAAGTTAAACAGTGAATCCATAGCATTGAGTTGGCCAAAGAAAACCGTATTTAATGAGTAAATGTATGCTGATTCAAGTAATTATTATTCTTGTTTTTATTATGCTACCAAATCAAACTTAAACGTTTTTTAAGTTTGTAGTTGCCACAGCTTCATCCAAGTGCAGTATAACGGGGTCATTCGAACTCTTTTTGGAAACAGGGATATTTATCGTGTCTTTTTTTTCTCCCTGCCACATCTATCCACAAACGAAATGTAACCTCTAGAAACCCTTCTGAGTACCAGGTATAGTTCAAACAATTTTCAACAATGTGATTTTTCGACAAGAGTTAACCTTGAGAGGCATGCAATTTGTGCGGCAGAGGCAGAGGCAACAAAGTGACAGAGGACATGCATTCCGATAATTGCAATAACAAGTTGATTATTTATCATCAGAACAAACATCGGAACGGGTGGCAGCTGTCTCTCAGCCCTCAATTGCAATCCGTATCGCTATGGGGAAAGGTCTCCCCCAACGCCGCAATGGAACCGAACATAACTGAACCTTGGAAGTACGTCAAAGCGATAAAGCCTCTGGATGGAATGACGCATAAGGAGCCGGCAGCAGCAGCAGCAACACGCGTCATACAAAAATTACGAACAGACCACTTGGCAACTGAAAGATTGTTGGGTTTCCTCTGCGTTTTCCACTCGGAAACTTTCCAGATCCTCCCAGCTCCTGCCCCTTCCCCCAATTGATGCAAGAGCTTCCTTTAGAAATTCAAATTTCCATTATGGCGAAATAGCTTTCCCCCGAAGAGAGGAGCAGCTGCTCCACCCTCCCTGTTTCTCCTACTTTTGCAATTTGTCGCAGAAAATCAATAATTCCCAACAGAGGCTCGGTTGTGGCTCGGTTCGGTTTTTCTTTTGCGTTCTGTTTGTTTTCCTTTGCTCCGCTCTAAATAAGTCTACGCCCTGAATTTCTGTCTGTGTTCTTAACGTGTCGTCTGTTGTTTGATTAACTTGGCTGAAACATAGAGAAGCCTTGACTATGCCGATAGCCAGCCTAATGGATACACTTTTGTGCTGCTCTTAAAGCTGGAGGTAAAATTAAACTTTAAGGCTAATGTTGTGTGGTGATATAATTAGAAAAGGTACTAAAATAGAAGACTAAAGACAGGAAAGCCTTGACCATAAATAGATCTTATTTTAAATTTTCTTTAAATATATTAAAGGCGAAGATTAATGTCGAGGGTGAAAGCCTTGACTAACTTCCACAAGCCTCTCTGCGTTAGACATCGTACAACTTTTTAGTGAACATCTGTTGGCCTGTTTGCCTTGTTGCTTGCCTCTGAGTTCATTTTCCCCATTGAATTGCAAACTATTGCAAAAGTTACTCGCAATATCAATACATTTCCCAAGCATTTTCATATCTCTCTGTTTATGTAATGTCTGTGCTGTGTCTGGCTCTTGCTGTATGGTCTGGGTGTCTGGGTGCGTCTGGCTATCCCGCGTTAATCGACACCTCTCTTCTCTAGAGTCTAGACACTTTGGTTCTGGTTCTCGTTCTGGGACATCGAATTACTCGCGTCACGTACTTTCCCATTTGTTTATGAACAAACCTCGTCAATAAACATGAAATATATGTCCGGCTGCAATTCCCGTTAGGCAGGAGAGGTATATTGTGTTGAGTCTGGGAAAAACGAAAGCGAAAGCTGGCGGTGAAAAAAAAAAAAGGTAGACAGAATTTGCAGTACTTTGAACCCCAGACGGGAGACAGAGAGTCACATACCCCGAAATTCAATTCCCCTTTTTTTATTGTAGCCCTCTTTACTTTTTTTTTGTGAAGACATTTTTGGGGTTCCTGCTTGGGAAGTTCTTTGTCTCTCGAAATGCCATTGACTGTTGCTTGCTTGTCCGCACAGTGCAATAAACTTTTATCCCCTGGCCACAAAGATGGCTGCAAAACTTTTAATAAATGTCAAATATATAGGAAAGGAACAAGGGGCTCCTCTTGTCTAAATAGTTTCTTGAGTTCTGTAATAAAATGTGCAATAAAAAAATTCCAATGTTGTAGCGCAAGCCTTCTGCTTTTGCCTTTAAATATTGATTGCAATGTTTATACGGTGGATTCCCTGAATTCATGTATTCGAATTCACGAAATGGTAGAATCGGAGCTGCCAGATGTGCACGACGTTTATTTATCTTAAGCTGCCAAACTTTGGTATTGGTTCAAAGGAACCTCTAATTTTTAATTTGTATCTTCTTTAGCTCTCAGTATGCTTTGTTTTAGCAATGAAATACAGTTCAAATCTGTTTTGAAACGACTGATCAGCTGATTTGGGCGTTGCCATCGGATTTTTGGACGGTGTGAAGTTGGTTGCGTTTGACCATGAGGACAAATGAGGACGAATACATTATAAAATTTCGTAAGTCGGATGCATTCATGGCACACTTATTAAGACAGTTTCCATTGAAGTTCATTTACAAAATATGCAGCAGAGTAATAGATAGTGACAGGTGATTAGATAGGATGATTACATGGTCATCGGTAAACCCCTATTTAAAGTTTCAGCAAATGAAAAGTTTCACAACGTTGGAATGATTTGTACATACACATTACTGTATACATATGTACCTACATATGCCTGTGTGTGGGAGTGTGCACTCAAGTGTAACAAATTTATATAGCAATAGAAACGTAATATGTGGTTCCACGATTAGGTATCACTGACGTCATCGCAATTGCCTAGATCTCGATCTGAGGGCTTAACAGGTTTTAATACTACCTAATGAATTAAGACCATTTGCATATTAAGTTACATGGTTTACACGTACAAGCCACAGCCCGCAGCCTTAGCCTTGATTAAACCTCATTATGACTTTGTTTACGACCCTTAAATAAACGCCTGACCTTCAGACTCAAAGTTATATTGATAAACTAGAACTTTCTTTTGCGGTAATTATCATTTTAATTATATAATTTTTGGTAGTTTTATAAGGGTTCAAGCTACACGCTGTCCTGCAAGGCAATCATTCTTGATGGAAGTTTTATCAGGTTCAGAGTGTCCTCTCCATGAAACAGCATGCCACTCTTCCACTGAAACGCTTCAAAACCCCTGCGGTGTCTGCTATTAAGTGGTGGTGCGATGAACCATCAGGATACCGTAAAAAGTACCTTTAGATATTCATTGACTCCAGACTGACATCAAGAGGTTGTGTGCTGCGGTGGTGGCTATAATATAAACAACCTTGACCTTGGGCATTCTGTTAAAGTTTCAGCTGGATGTAACTCCCATCACCAAAGAGGGCTGGGGGGGGCTGTCCCACATACAGGGACATAGGCTGTTCGCTCCCTTTAATCATAATAAAAAGGGTTCTTCATTAAACTTACTTTCTTCAAGGGCATTTGCATTGTGCACGCCCCAAAAACGTTTACCATAATTCCCACGTGCCTGCCTGTCCGCTTCACATTTTTCACATTTTTGTTTCTCTTTTATACGATTATATTTATCCATTTACAGCCATCGAAAGCGATAATGAAACAATTAAATTCGTTGATGAAACGAATTGGTCATAAATGAAAGTGCTTACAACGGTGGATAAAGGGGCCTTAAGGGGGGGTGATATATGTCATAAGACCATTTTGTATTTGTATATCACGTTGTGTGTATGGCCTGTAGATATGTATTTATTCGACAGACGCCTTTAAAGCGCTTTAAATATTCACCAGACTGTAAAATCTGTATATTCGCATTGGGGTTCCAACGGCTAGGTGAAGGGAGGAGCGGCGGAGAAGTAGGCGCCTGTAGAGTGAGAGCAAGCGGAAGAGAGAAGAAGTAGGTGCTTGTAGAGAGAGAGAGAGAGAGCTTGCTCTCTCCGCTTGAATTGAGTGTAGAAATATGCGTCATTGAACAACTGGCGGGCGTCACGATTCACTCTCTCTCCCTTGGTATATTTTGAGTGCTCTCTCTCTCTCTCTCTCGGAAAGTAAGTCTCCAATCTGTCGTGTGGGTGTGTGGCAGACCGGACCCGAACCCGAACCCTCTGTCGACGCGTGGAAGCTCCCTCTCACAGCATTCGATAGGAAAACATGAAACAGTGCTCATCGTGGAGCCTTAGAAGTCTGCTCCTGCTGCTCAGTGTTGCAATCGATCAACGTCTTAGAATTGACACCTGTCGATATCTAATCCAGATCCTCTCACGCCGCATTACAGGCGATTAAAGGTAACGATACCAAGCAGCTGCTAATCTACAACAGGTGCTCTGTGTCTTGTTTAAGAAGTGCTTAAAGTAAGTCTCCATTAACAGAGACATAGACAGAGAGAGAGAGAGAGCGAGCGAGCGTGTGTGACTATAGAAGTACAGGCGGCGGCAGCGATGGGCGCCCTCCACTCAGTTGATAGCAATGAAACAGTGCATATCGCGCAGCTCTAACTGTAATCTGCTCAGTGTTGTAATCGATCAACGACTCAGAATTGACACCTGTCGATATCTAATCGAGATACTATCTCGCCGCATCTCTGGCGACTAAACAGCAGAGTCACAAATCTGCGGTAAAACTCAACTAATTTCTCAAGTGTCGTCATAAACGTACATATATATAAATATAAATAAATATATAAATATATATAATATAATCAATCGAATATATATATCATTATATAGAAATATACGTCGTTAGTGTGTTGTGTGTTCCGTTTGTGTGATTTTTTCATTTTCGCCAAGACGCAAAAACACAAAAAATACTCTCGGTTCGTCGTACATTGCATAAGTCCACGAAAGTAAGAAGGAATCAAGCAAGAGAGGATGCCAAAATAAATGGCACCATCAACAAAAATCTTCCAAATGAATCTGTTTCTGTTGTTTATCGTGTCATGAGGTGTGTGCGCACAGAGATACAATTATATCTTACCTTATAGCTAAAGAATAGTCGTATACCAAAAAAACAAGTGAAAGTTGTACTTTTTTTTTTGCAATTGAATCAACAGTCAGAGGTTGCTGCTGCCGCTTAGCTGGCCAAAAAAAATATGTGCTAATTAGTTCCACGCGTCTAGAAAACCGATTCGATAAGTAATCTATAATGGATTCTACTCGTATGTATTTTCCCTGGTAACAATTGTTGGGGCTGGGGCCAAAAAAAAATTCAATGGAATTGTTTGTCTAATACCAAAATAAACAAAACGGCTAGCAGCCAGACATGCCACCTATAAAAAATCCAATATTTGCTTAAAGAATTATCAAATTTTGATATGTATAGGTATATCCACACACACACGCATTGTTCTGTCTTTATTTTTGTGGACCATTTAATACATATGTTTTTCAAGAACAGAAACACATTTAAATATTGTAAATCTTTTGTGGAACGTAGAAATTTTCGTTGACTTTGACTTTTTTTCTTGGTTCGCTTTTAGGGAATATATTTTTTCAAAAATATTTTCTTTTACGACAGCCAACGACCTACTTATGAAATGGACTTAAATATGAAGAAAATATTCACCGGGAATATTATATTCCTTGAATTTTGGTTCGGTTTCTTTTTGAGGTATATTTTCTGTTGAAAACACGTAAAACCAGGGGAAAGTATGAAGAAAGGGAAACGAACTATTTATAAAACGTTTATTCTAGATGTTGTTTTGGATTTTGAGACAACATGCACTGATATCTAAGATATCTACTACTTAAGTTCTCTTTTCTAAACTTTTAATCTTCTGCAAAAACAAATTTAATATGAATTTTCCATCTTCTTTTATATTTGCAGTTGGTTAGACCTGTTCCCACATCTATGGAGTTTCATCTAGACAGTGCAGAATACTGCCAGGCACAGCACAAATAAAAAGTAAGTATTACCCAATGCAGAATATGATCCAGAAATTTCCGCTTTTCATTGAAAATTAATTGGCTTAATGACCAATAGCGCTCTGGTCTCTGGTAGTGCGTGTGCTGTGGGTGGGTCGGTGGGTGTTTCTTTTCAGTGGAGAGCCTAAGGTCATCTGGAATTAAGTGCCGGTGACCTTTATGGACAATTTATTGCTCTTGACTCTCCGCTGTCGTCTGTCGCCCGAAAGAACTGCAAAGAATGGATAATGGAAAAAGAATGGCAGCTCGCGCGTGTTCCACAGATATTTTGCAAGAGTCTAGAGTCGTCTCTCCTCAATTATTCCATTGCGTGTAATTGAACTAAATTGCTTTTTCGTTTTCAATTAATGGAAATAATACGAGTATTCGTATCACCAATAAGGGTGTAGCTTTGGGCGATTTAAACCAGTATTTTCCGCGGCCATGCAGTATTTTCTTGCTTACTAAAGCTAAATATTTCATTCTTTAATTTTTAGGTAATCAAACCTCAAGCAAGGCGGTGATAGCCTGAGTGAACACCGGTCACCGGTCTGTCTCATCTGAAGTGTCGACGCGTCGATAAGTTGTGTGTGGATCATATCAGCGGATCAGCAGATCGGCTGGATATAGGATATATATAGAGACAGCAGCAGCTGGCCAGCACGTCGTCTGTCTGGTCTCTTCCCCGTGATCGTCTCTGTTCGTCAATCTATGAAGCAGAGAGAGAGGAAGCAGAAAAACACTACACCCCCGCCCCCCTACATTTGTTTAGCATCGCATCAGTCTTCATATCATCCGCTGAAAGAGACAAATTTTTATTGTAACATCGAAAACTGAAAAAAGGAAACAAAAAAGTTGTTAGATCCGAAAGATACACTAAAAAAAAAAAACAGGGATTTATTTCACGGAAACAAATTTCATACCATTTTCTTTGTGATAGAAGAAAATAGAAGAAGAAAAAATTCAAAATTTGTACTTAAATTAATTTTAAAAAAAGATAACCATAATTTTTACTTGAAACATTTTACTCTAATTTTGTGTCTTTTTTGGTGTAAAACGATACAACAAAAAAAAAAACGAGAGCTAATTATATATATATATTTTTATTGTTTACACACAATCTCAAAAGAAGAAAACACACACTTAAAAATCTAAAAGAAACATCAATTGTAGCATCTAATACGCTGAATTTTTAAAACTAGAAATCAAGAAAACTTCCCCTCTAAAACACAAGAACTCAAATTGTAAAAGAAAAGAAACCCCCAAACTTTCAATTTCGAAGTGGAAAAGGTTAGGACTGCTCTTTTTTCTGTAATTTATTGTGTATGAGCATCACTATGCGTCAAAAAGATCTACGCCCAGCCCCAGCTCTAATAGAGTACAAGGGCATGAAGTTCCTAATCACCGATCGACCATCAGACATAACAATTAATCATTATATTATGGTGAGTGTATTTCAAACGAGATGTCTGCATGAAGGTACTCAAAATAGAATTCCAACTCGGAAGACAATAGAATGTTTGCTGAGAATTTTTTAATGAGCACTCAAAAGAAACTCATTACATTCGTATTTCCTTTATGTAACAAATTTTTGAATGCCTTCATGCTCAGACCTCTACTCTAAACATATAGGGCTATGGAATACCCGACTAATGTCTTGATTTATAGGAGCTTAAGAAGAACAATGTGAACATTGTGGTGCGTGTTTGTGAGCCCAGCTATAATACAGTGGAGCTGGAGGCACAGGGCATCAATGTCAAGGATTTGGCCTTTGAGGATGGCACTTTTCCGCCGCAACAAGTCGTTGACGAGTGGTTTGAGGTCTTGAAGGATAAGTAAGTAAACGTTATCCCAAAGATATATATCTTGTTAGTCATTTAGTTTAAATATTTTTAATTTCAAATTTATCATTTAAGCATAAGACATTTTTAAATATGTATAGTTTATATTTTTGTAATGGAGTTATGGAACTATGATTCTGACACACAATGGGCTGTAGAAGAAATGTAGATGTGGACCATTTAGTATAGATATACACTGTACACCTTAGTCCAAACCATATTCATCAAAAGCAAAGCCCCAAACTAATAATCCATATTAGAAATGAATCTAGCAAAGTGATAATATATAGTGTATAGTTCTTTAATAGCTGTGTATCTGTGGATATGCCACAACAACATCCATTTTTAGAGTGTATAAATGTCGTAAAATGATTCCTTTTCAGTATTTATTCTTACAAGAATCATTTATATGTAAATTAAAGTCATTCAAAAGTCTTCAAGACATTTTATAGTAGATCATAGATCACTCTTGATCAATTTCTGAACACATGTATATTCCATACGAAATCAATATATTATAGACCCATTATGGACGAACTAAAATTTGCCAGAAAATTAAGACCATTTATAGGTTTTGCATAGACTATAAATCAATTAGATCAATTTCTATTTGTATGTCAAATTGTTGATCAGACATGGAATTCTCACAAATGATGTAACATAGGTATATTTGATTTATAAAGGCAGCTTTACCGGCCTTAAATGCCATGAACCTTCTGTTGATTGGCCTTAACCAAACCGACCTTTGTCACACACTGAGAGAAGTTCTACCACTGATCGCCTTGGAGCTGTAGCACCTCCTCGTACTCCTAATGCTCGCAAACTCACTCTTGCAGGGGCCCCACAATCTTCTTCAGGTCATAGTTAGAGTAAAGTCCCTTGACAGTGGCCAAATTTTGGTCAGTATTTATATAAAGAAATCACAGATCTAGTTCCGCATAGCTCCATTGCTAATCACAGCTTAAATGCATAATTCTAGTGTATTATTTATATCATAGATCATTCGTTCGGAGTGTACGCGATAGAAATTACCTCAAGCGATCTTTATCAATTTATTCAGTATTATTTGTTGCTTTGAAAATCAAAAGAGAAAACTAAATTCCACTTTAAATAAAATTAAAATCAAAATGAAAAATCTTTACGCTGCGCTAGCCATACTACCATATATCCAAAAAGAGCTGTCATAAAATCGAATAATAGACGAAAAATAATCAAAGAAATATATACGATAAACACCCGCTTGTAGACCACCTCCCAATGCTCTACGCCTTAGCTCTCCGCCGATTTATGATTTATATTAGAACTCTTTCTATTATTTGCCTGTACAGATGTTTATTTTTGGAACCACTTGTAATTTTATCCCAACAAAACTATCTGCACATTCCTCTCATATTTTCTTGACCTTTAAGTTGTATCTTTCCATTTGTCACTTGATCTCTTTTGAACCTCTTTAAACTATCGAATCTATTACCAAATGAGAACTTACCCTTACTACCTTCCTTATGTGTGCTATATTTTATTGATACGATTACCGCTGCGCTGCCGCCTGTGCCCCAAAAATAGTTTTAGAAAGTCCACCACCACAAACGCCACACTATCCTACTACAAACATAAGCGTTTCTCGCTCAGACACATACCAAAAACAGTTCCACCAGAAACAACAGCAACCGCTACAGCCACTACTTCAGCAATCAGGCATTCGGCAACCAGAGCAAGCCTCTCGTCCTGCGCCGCGGCAGCAGCATCTGGTCGGAATATTACAGATACCGATACCATTCCCCTAACAACAGCCTATGACAATCTCAATCTCAATGATATTACTGGCAATGAGGCAGCATCATCGGCAATTTATAATAATACTGCATTTGTTGATAATGAAACTTGTCGGTAAGCCGTAGACCTTAGACATAGAGACACAAACTCAAAACCAAGTTTAGCTAAGCGAACAATCAGTTTTTCCAATATCTATATATATTTATGTAATGTATGTATAGGAATCTGCAGGAACTCTTTATGAATATCTCCATAATAATTATTCGTTTTGTTTCTTTCTTTAGATATCAACAAACTCCAGAGGCCTGTGTGGCCGTTCATTGTGTGGCTGGTCTGGGACGAGCTCCTGTTCTGGTGGCCCTGGCCCTGATCGAATTAGGCTTGAAATATGAGGCCGCTGTGGAAATGATTAGAGAGTGAGTACCAATATTCCATACAAAAAGGATTATAGAACATATAGATCCAAGGAAGAGAATGAGAGCGTTGCTGAGGAAGCTTCGGGCACCATGAGCGCGTGCAGGCTTTTTTGGGTTATACGGAAGATGCAGCCTTCTCTATGTGTTCTATAATCTTTAACATCATACCATTACGTTATAAAGAATAAACCGAACTAATGGATTAATTGCATCTTTGCAGTAAACGACGTGGAGCCATCAATGCCAAGCAGCTATCATATTTGGAGAAATACAAGCCCAAGGCGCGGCTAAAGCACAAAAATGGCCATAAGAATTCATGTTCTGTGCAATAGATTTCCAAACACCATATGTATATTCCCACCAGATAAAAAGTGTTCATTTTTTCAAAAAAAAAAAAAACCAAGAAGAAAACAAAGAAATAAGAAAAGGAAAGTAAAGAAAATGTGGAATTAAAACAAAAGAGAGAATTCATCCGCAAACACCACAAAAATCCTATAGACGAACAAATTGAATCACAGCCCCCCACTCCCGCTCCCAGTAATTTATACATATAAAAAATCTAAAATTTCATAATGTATTGGCATCCAATTTTAATTTTTTGTGTTTATTAATTAATGTAATTTATTGTTATTTTATGATTTCCCAATCCCACAAAACCAATGCTAAAAGAAATTTTGATTCACGATACTACATATATTCAAAGACATTGTAATTATATAGATGATGTGTAGGGCCCCAAATACCCCATAAAATGGTTGTAGAAATGGCCCCCCACAAAAACGTAGTTTACATTTACATATTATTCTGGAACAAGATAAGCTACTACTCTGGAATAAACAGCAATACGAGTAAAACAGAACACACGGAATGTAAAACGGTAGAGGTATCCATCCCTTAGACACAGATTAAACAGATACAACAACAAAAGTGTAGAGTGAACAAAAGTATAGATACTATATATACTATATATATATATATAAACCAATTAAACGGATGGGCAGATACAGAATTAAGACACCACGAAAAATGTACTTAAACCGCGGTATTTAGTTGGGAAATTTAGAACTCCCCCCAGAGAAAAAGTCAAATGTCTACTTTCGATATGGTTTTTGTATGCTTACACTCTTTTCTTTTAGCTGCTTTCAATGAATGGAATTAAATGTCTAAATACTTGATTTTCTACTTGCATTATACAATTACATATATATATATATGTATGTATGATATATGCCAATCCCCTCTTTTATATATAGTACATATGCTAAGCGCCCCCATTGCTACTGAGAGCATCAAGGAATATACATATATATATAGTATATATTTGTAAATTAGAACTACAAATTTTTACATTAATGACTTACATGCATTCAGTAAAAAAAAACTACTTCAAACCATTTGCAGCAAAAATAACAACTCAAACAAGAACAAAACACCAAACAAAAAAAACACAAAGTTAAAAATTGAGAAAATGAACATGAAAAAAAAAAACTAAACTAATAATTATACCTTATTATTAAAAAATTAACAAATTATAGTGTGTGAGATGTAACGAAGATGAAAATAAATTAAAAAAAAAAAACGGAGGAAAAAAAAACAACAAAAGCCGAAAGTAAAAACAAATATAAAGCTTACAGATTAATTTATCCAAAATATTGAATTGTAATTTTTTAAAATGTTAGTCATTACAAGGAAATAAAAACGATATATATTAAAATTAAAACGAACTCAAGTTAGTATTTGATGCTTGGGGGGGTGTTGGGTGCGGTGTGGCCTGTGGCCCCCTTGCAAACGAAAAATGGCGAAGGAATAAAGGATTTATAACGATTCCAGGGCAATATTCTTAGGCGTCGCACGCCCTGATCGGACTAGAAACAGCGGAGGTATAGCGATTTAAAGGCAATATCCTTATTGTCCTTAAAGCGAAACGATGGGGAACATCCTGCCGATTACGAGGATACTTATCACATCCAGATCGGATGAAAAATGACAGAGAAACGTAAGTATTTAATACTGAGGGAAATATCCTTGATCCTTGGTCCTTTATAAGGACTCCACAAAATCGAGGATTTTCTTCCGATCACGAGGACACGTAACACGTCCTGATCGGTCGAGAAATAACGGAGTTAAAGCGATTTAAATAACGCTAAAATTACTTACACAAAAACAGCATATTTGAATTTCGCGCCCTTAGTTTCGTATCGGCTAGATTCTGACATGATGTAAAAAAGAAAAACCAGCTACCTTCTGCTGACTTCTGTTCGCCTGGTACTCGGTCTGAAAATATTCTGGTTTTCGGCCATTTGAGCCTAACAATTTAAAAAAGTTAGTTCCAGAATTGGCCGTCGTTGTCGTGGGGGCGCCAGGGTGCAAAAACGTCGTTTGCACAGTAGCGCCCCCAATGGTGAATGGCGATTTGTTGAACTACCATACGTTAGTTCCAGCATTGGCCGTCGTTGCTGCTGGGGGCGCCACTGTGCAACGGAAAAATATTTTGCACAGTGGCGCCCCCAGTGTCAATGACGGCCAATGCTGGAACTAAAGTACGGTAGTTCCAGAATCTGCCGTTCACAAATGGGGGCGCTACTGTGCAAACGACGTTTTTGCACACTGGCGCCCCCACTACAACGACGCCCAATTCTGGAACTAACTTTTTTAAATTGTTAGGCTCAAATGGCCCAAAACCAGAAAATTTTCAGACCGAGTACCAGGCGAACAGAAGTCAGCAGAAGGTAGCTGGTTTTTCTTTTTTACATAATGTCAGAAGCTGGCCGATACGAAACTAAGGGCGCGAAATTCAAATATGCTGTTTTTGTGTAATTAGTTTTAGCAATATTAAAATCCCTTTAACTCCGTCATTTCTCGTCCGATCAGGACGTGGTACGTGTCCTCGTGATCGGAAGAAAATCCCGGATTTAATGGGGTCCTTATCAAGGATCAAAAATATTTTCTCTAGTCATATTTATGTATCTTGTTTTCTCAGCTATTCATGAGATCCTGTGATCGGAAAAATAGACTTGATCCTTGGATAAGGACTGCGACATCCCCTGTCATATATTTTTCGTTTTTTCGACTATTTGTTGGCCGATCTGGGCGTGCGATGGTTTCCTGTAATCGGAAAAATGTCCCTGATAGAGTCCTTATCATAAATATTTTCCCCAATATTTATTTTCCTGCTATTTGTAGACCGATCTGAATGGGATTGACTTTGCCAACATCGTGAGGACCAAGATTTTTGTATTAGCATACGAAGCTCGTCATCTTGATAGTTAGAAATAATATAGAATAAAACACATACAAATTCCAGTCTGTTCTACACAAAGTACATTTATTTCACCATATACAAGAAAATACACAATGAGCAGGAAATATGATATAAGGATTATTATGTTTAAATAAATTGAAATGGCCTCCATGAGGATATCATCGCAGTGGATATTCGATCTTGTTGTTTCTTCTTTGTGCTCGGTAGATGGTAATTTTGTGGAAAGGTAGTGGCGGCAGAGTATCTTGACGATCGGTTTGTGGAAAAGGTATTGGCGCTTGTTTGGGGCCTGTGCGGTAGGTACTCAAATAGTTACTCTTCTTTTCGTCTCTGAGGAAATTTCCGTTGACATGATTGTTGGTATTGTTGAGAATATTTTGTTGGGTTTCCCTGAGGATGTTGTTGATGTGAATAACCTTGTTCTGAAGATCGTTGCTTTCGGCCTTGCTGTGTGTTATATTTTGGTGGAGGGGGCTTGTGTTTATATTAGTTTTTGTTTGGGTTCTGGTATTGATAAGTTTCTGGTCCGAACTCTCCTTATCTTGGGTGTTGTTGAAGGTCCCATTGTACGCATTATTAAGGATAATTTTGTCGGTATTATTGTGAGACTTGTGAATGCTGTTTGTGTTTGTGTCGGTTTGTGAGCGGGTTCTATTTTTCAATTGCTTCTGGTCCAACTTTTCCTGGTTCTGGGTATTGCGCAAGGTTCCGTTGTGGGTATTACGAGAGATATTGTTGCGGGTATTATTGCGAATCTTGTTGGGTATATTGATGTTGTCCTTGGTTTCAGCTTTGGATGTTCTGCAAAATATTTCAGTGTTAGATATTTTGTTTTAAACAAAAATCGATTTTACTATGACTAGATTATTCTTTGGTATCGCTTAAAAAGGAGTTGGCTAAAGGTACTAAATGGACTCTACTTCGTTTATGTGAAATCTCATTCATCTCGAATCATTTGTGGTAGTCTATAAGAAATAGTTGAAATTATCATAAGCAGATATCTAATATAAATCACCCACAGATAGAACATTTTTAAAGATCCATTAAGCATATGCGACTTAAACTGATTGGAATAATTTACATTTATTTGGCAGGATATCGCAGAACAGAGACTAATTAATTAATAAATTATCCGATAAAACCCCTGCCATGGTATTTTCGAACTTTTGGTCTGGGTTTTGAAGGTTTCGTAGGGCTGCTATTATGTCGGTTATTTATATAAAAATTTTAGTTGAAGTTTAAAGCTTATACATATTTACTCACCTTCTGAGTACCTTCTTTTTGGTATCTCGTTTTATTGCTTTTGCTGCTTTAGTTGGTTTCATAGTTGTGGTTTCGTTCAAGGATCTCTCATTTACTTCATTCAAGAGTCTGGTTATATTGTCCATTCTGTTGAAGAGAAAATAGGTATATATTGAAAGTACATGTTACAGAAACTGTAGGTACATTTGTATATGTATGATTGCTTTACCTTTCATTTTGTTCATTTTTAAAGGCATCAAATTCGCGATGGAAGGACCTTGCCAATTCCTGAACAGCAGCCAAAACGGTTAAGGTATTGGTTTTGATGTTAACATTTGTTGATTTATCTTCCGTAGATTTTATAGCTAAAGGGGTTGTTTCAGGGATGGTCGGAGAACCCTTTGCAGTAGGTGACGAAGAATTAGCTGAGAATTTAGTCGTGCTACTACTCTCTGTGGATGAATGAGTCGTAGCATTGCTCTGTAACGATTCCTTAGTCGAACCATCTCCTGTTCTTGCAGAGCTCTTTGGTACATTTACACTCAACAACCTTTCCAAACGGGCCTGTTGTGGATCATGTGATAGCATTTTACGAAACGGTTGTTCCACATCCACATTACTATTGTCACTAGTTCCTCTTCCAATCCGGTCGTTGTTCTCCATGGATTCATATTGATTTTCCATTGAATACTCGCGTATAATGGTTCGATAATGTATTGGTTTCGCACGATTGTGATTATGAATTTTTTGATCAATTTTAAAGCGATGTTGTTGCAGTTCTCGTACCAACCTCATGGATTCGTAAGAGTTCTTGGTGCGATGCTAAGAGAAATAGAAAAGAGAAAAAGGGTCATTGCTTTTCACATGATTTTCGTTTTGTTTATATTATTTAAATATTTTCTGCTTTCAGTTTCGGATTTGCAGAATTTTTGAGGTCACACTTTGACGCGAAACATTCAAAATTATCCGGTTAACAATTGGTTGTGGTTGGTTAATTTATTCAAACTGTGATGTCCACACGGTTGTCATCAGAAAGTATACAATTCTATAACAATTAGACATATCTTTGCTTCACTTACACGTATATCACTTTGAACATACACTAAATTGATTAATAACAAAGTCAGAATGTTTAAATAAATCATTTTTTGATAGAATTATGCTAGCTTTTCTGAGATTCGAACCGAGTTGCTGCTTGCTTACCGAAAGACTGCGAAACATATCAGTGTTCGTTTCAAATGAGATTCATTCTCTTCCGATTTGCTGCATAGAAAAATTAGTTATTTTAAAAGAAGTGTGAAATTTTAGAGCTGATGCAACTAATAGAATTAGGGATGGTACGGTGTGCATTCTGTTGTGCATATTGCTTTGGATTCAGTTTACGAATAATTCATAGTATGTACTTTCGAAGCTACAGTCTCTGGCGCGCGAAGTTATAGTTAGGATAATCAAATATGATTATAGAATCTCTATAAACTCAATCCTGCGAAGTGTTCCATTAGAAAATTAATTATATTTACCCAAAATAACCTCGAAATCTGAATCTACAGATCATCCATAATGTGGTCCGCTGTCAGGCTTTTCCTTTTCGTCTTACCTGAAATAGATGCATAAAATAAATTAGTTTTATTTACATAGATACATATGTATATATAAATTATAATATTAGGAATACAATAAGTATGCGAAATAAAGGAAATCTTTCATTTGATTCTGTGTTTAACGATGTTTCTCTTTATTTTTGCATATATAAATAAATATATTGGTAATTACAACTAATAACTTTGACATTTCTGTTCTGCATTCGGTTTTTTGTTTTAATAGTATTTCGGTTTTTTTTAAAGTTTTTTTTTTGTATTGCGAGCACACACTTTTGCTCGAAACTCCTTTACGTATTACAAATGAAATTAAATCCTCTGAATTAACGCGTACAATTTTCACAAATGTATAATAATTGTTGATTTAAATCGATATTTTCTTATTCCATGATATTTTTGTTGCTCAAATTAAGGATCATTTCAGGATCAACATTTCAGTTGTTGAGAATTATTTGACAATAGGTACAGTCCGCATCTGTCAGCTAACAACGGGTTCGGTTCGGCTGTCTGTGTGTGTGTGTGTGTCTCGATAACATGTGTGTTCGTTCGGGCTATGACAGTGCGCTCTAGGATAACCGACAGTTAGTGAGTGCGCCTTGCTGCTAATCCATTAATTTTCTGCCTTAACAAATCTATTAAGCAACGTTGAGTATTTCACACTCTGTTTTTGTAAGCTATGCATTATTATTTGTATACATTCCGCATAGCCAAACGAGTGCCAGGGACCCATAGGTGACAGGACTAGAAAAATAATATTTTTTCATTACAGTTGTTTGTGTATTTGTTTGCGTATGGCAGTGCGCAAAGCACCGAAAATAATTATATATATAGAGTACATGCATATATGCACGATTCAAAGCGATAGTTTTTTGTGATATAAGGTTTTTTTCTACATCTCGTTGTGTGGTGGGGAAGCAAAAACGTAAACTACATATGCGTGTAAAAAAATATATGTACCTCTTTGCTTGACACCACATTTCCAAGTTACAGATTGATTTCATCTCTTTCTCTCTTTTGCATGCTTTCTTTCTTTTCTTATATACAAGTTTTGCACCAGCTTTGACTCTAACGACACGAAATACGTCTATATCCGAATCGAACAATAAAACTAAATGTACGATATAATAATTCTTTCGTTTCGGTTAAGTGGTAAACACAGGGTGAAATAAATACAAAATTGGCAAAATTTCAAGTAAAAATAAAAATATATATGCATGTATAATGTATAGCTGCTTTGGAACTCGATTGATTTAGACGAAAAAAAGAACTGGCCATCGTTTGGTTTGTTTGTAAATTGAAGCAAAACAACATAATCGTAATAATATGCGAAGTACTTGATTAATAACTACTAAATTTAAACATTCCTTTTTCTATATGTATGTACAAATCACAGCTACAAACACTAAATCCTCCTTCTTCTTCTACTACTTGTTCCAGTGTTTTATTAGGTGGCGATGACAGGCATTGGGAGGGGGGGGCTGCTGCTGCTGCTACTGCCTTTGCGGCAAACGAAATTAAATTTACATTTCGTTTCCGCCTTGTGCTTAAACAAAAAATAAAAAACACTAATTTTAAACTCGCGCGTAAGGCTTGGCTTTCGTTTCGTAAAAGTAAACACTACAGTCCAGAGCAAGCTTAAAACTAAAGGTATGGATAATCATCTGATGATAATCGGATTCCTTCTACAGCCAACCGCCCTTGCGGCCAAACAGCAAGGAACTAACTGAACCGACAAACGCCTGTGTGATGGTCTGTGGTGCTGCCTCCTCCTCCTCCTCTGCCCTAGCCGCCGCCGCCGCTTCCCTTCTGGCCGCTGCCCTTGATGCGGACGCCTTGCTGGCGCCGCTGTCTGCTACTCTGCCCAAATCGGGACGTACTCTGCCTCCACCGCCACCAGCAATGGTGCCGAGATCGGGCCTCTGATTGGCCATTCCATTCTTCAGCTGTCTGCGCGACTTCTGGCGCTGCATTTGCTTCAGTCGCGTCTCGCTGGCTGTAGAGCTGGACGGTGCTCCCGTCGAGGAACTCGCTCCGTCCGTTTGTTGCGCAGCCGCAGCTGCAGCCGCCGCCGCCTTCGTTGTTGTCGATGTTGTCTTGGGCCTAATCTTCATCATAAGCCCCTGATCATCACTGTCATCGCTGTTGTAGGCGCTGGTGCTGCTGCTCGTCGTCGTCGCAGCCATCGCCGCTGCTGCTGCCGCTGAGGATGACGATGAAGGAGTGGGTGACTTTAGTCCACGATGGAGGACACCCTTAATCTGTGCCCGATCAAAGTGTATATCGTCCACGATGCTATTGCTGCTGGTGTGCAGACTCTGGAGACTTCCACTGCTCATCGGCGAGCTGCTGCGATTCGCAATGCCCGCTCCGAGGCCACGCTGTGCGCTGATTATGTTCTCCAGTCCAATGCTCTCCACCTTCTCGATCAGATTCAGTGATCTGAGAGCGCGCCTCTCCAGATGCGACAGCATGATCTTCTGCTGCTGCTGCTTGCTGAGGCTGCTCCTCTGCTGATGCTGCTGATCCCCCACAATCTTGCGGCGTATCAGATCCGCTCCCGACGAGAGCAAGCCGAAGAGTGGCTCCGGGGACTGGCAGCGCGGTGGCGAACCCTCTGGACTGTTGCAGGGCGTCACTGTGGGCGAGAAGTTGGGACCGGCAGGCGTATTCAGAGCACTGGGTGTCACTGCCTTGATGCCCCGCTCGTTGAGCATTCCGGCCAGACCGAGGTTCACCGAGAATGTGGAGCAGGAGTTCTTGCGCGAGAGTCCAGCACGCGGTGTGGCGGGACAACTAACGAGGAGAAACAAACAAGCATTAGAAGGGGAATCAATCGAGGCATCCTCAGAGACTGCAGACTGAACTCCGCTTACCTTGGCTGTCTTGATGTCGATGTGGAGGCCATGCGCGAGGACATCTGCGATTGCGACAAGAACGACAGATCGTTGACGAAACCATCATCCGGATGCATAACCACGCTCGTTGTGTACGTGAACGTGGAGCCGGCCGCTTCAAACTGCTTGCCCGGCAGCTCCTCGCTCACATCCTCCTCGACGTCGGATAGCGTGTAGATTTGCATGCCCAGATCGTCCAGGCCTCGTCCGCCACGAATGGTCACACCAGGACGCTCGTCCAGCAGGCCACTGAGCGTGGGCGTGGCCAGGCGCGACCAATGATGCAGGGTTTGGGAGCCCTCCATCGGTTTGATGATCTGCAGCTTCTCTGGAAGACGCCACTGATGCGTCATCGAGGCGGACATGTGATGTGAGGAGGCGCTCATGCCCGACGATCCCGTCGACATTATGCTATCGGGAGTGCGTACGCCCAGCGGCAAGTTCGAATGCGAGGCACCCGCCCCACCATGCGTCGTGGGCTCATCGTAGTTGTAGGTGCCGACTGGGGCGTAGGAGAGCATTGCGCGGCGAGCCAGAACCTCACCAGGCGTCAGACGCTTGAGGGCCGCCTCCAGTTCCTTAGCGCCGGGGGCTCCTGGCACACCAGAGGGCTGGGCTGGATAACCGTCATCGGACTGGGAGTTGAGACTCTCGTTGGAGAGAGTTTTAACGCCCAACGACTGATTGCTACCGCCGCGATAGTACGAGCCCGCTGGATACGCCATGGAGGCCATGCGCGGACCGGAGGAGCTGCTCATGGACATGGCGCCCAGGGTGGTCATCGACACATTGCCGCTGTCCATGTAGTTGCCGCTCTTGCCGGCACACCGGACCGTTTCGAAGACGCGCTTGTAGGGCGGTACCACGCCCGCACCAGCATAAATACTGCCACCGACACCGGACGAGCCCATGCCGCCAGGCATCTGCATCATCATGCGGCTTATGCGATCCGCCGCCCGCTGGCTATCCCCGGAGATGCCCGAGTCCAGACTGTTCTCCGAGTACAGCGACGATTCCATCAGTTCGCAGTGAAGGGAGTCCGGATGTAGCAGGCCACCGACCGCTCCACTCGTTCCCAGTCCACCCAGGAACGAGCTCCTCGCCTGCGGCTGGGATCGCTTGCGCTGCTGCTTTAGCTGATCCTGGGCTGAGTGCAGCAGGGCCAGCACCTCCTCGTAGCGCTGCTTGAACTCCACCAGTTCCAGGGCGAGGGCATTCTGGTTCTCCTTCGTAACGTGCAGCAGCGACAGATGCTCATCGTTGTCCTGCGTCAGCTGATGCAGCCGCATCTCGGCCTCGGCCAGACGGGCTGTCAGACTGACAATCTGTTCATGCTGCAGCCGATTCTCCTCGCGCTGCCTCTCGCACTCCAGACTGATGTTGTCGTACTGCGAGTTGGCGTCGTTCAGCTGCGCTCCGATATCGGCCATCAGCTGACGTTCGTGCTCCTCCACCTCGTCGGTTTTGTAAGCCAACTGTGTGGCCTCGCACTTGAGGGATTTGTTCTCGTCAAGCAGCGTGTTTACCTTTCGCTGGAGGAGGTCCAGCGTGATGGACTTGGAAAAGGTGGGGGTTTCTATGGGAGGGGGAAGATAAACATTAGTATTACTATACTAATTCCAAGATATTCTCTGGGGTAAATCCTACCCGTATCTGTGCCATCATCCGCATCGTTGGTCAGCACCGATATCAGTTCGTTTTTCTTGTGCAGCTCGTGCAGCAGTTGGGCCCGATCATCGTTGGATGACTTGAGATCGACCTCCAGATCGGTGACCCGCGCCTCCAGTGCATTATTCTGTGTGAGCAGCTCCTTACCAATCTGCACAGTCAGCTCGAGATCCTTCTCCTTCTCTTCCAGCAGACGCGTCACGGCTTCAATGTCATCGTATGCCCGAGTCATCTGGCTAACACGGTTGCCGCATAGAACTGGAATATCCAAAATATATATTGATCTTTGAGTTCCTTGAATTATAATCCAATTAAAATCATTCGTTAAAGGGGGGACAAATCTATCTTAAAATTCAAATAGAATGTGTCGTGTGTTGTGTGTTGGTGAGTGCCTGCTATGTCGTTTGTACAGTGTTAGAAAGTGAGAAGATGCTCTCTCTATCATCTCCTGTCTGTCAATCAATCCAGACTACACACACACACACACACGCATAAATGTTGTTGCTATGCCCCCATGAGCGCTCTGTTATTATTCTCTGGAAGAACAGTTTAACCACCTTCCATTAGCAATTGCTCGTTTTGTTGCTCCAATGTGTCCCCACCTCCTCCTGCTGCCGCTGCCGATGCACCACCACTCCCCACAGACAGCTCCAATTCATCTTCGTACTCAAGTTCATCGTCCATGATGCAAAAGTCGTCGTGTAATTGCGACCAGTCGTTTGTGGTTGCCTCGTTTTGGCATGCCTCAAAGGCAAAGTCTTCCAAGCAGGTTATTGCTGTTGCAGCATCAGCATCCCCAGCAGCATTGGCGCCGCCACAGCTCTCCTCTCTTCTCACACCCTCCTGTCTGGTGATGCCACTGCTGCTGCTGCTGCTGGCTAAAAATCGATGCTGTTGATGAAGACTGCTGCTGCCGGCAGCAGCAGGCGCCCTGCTTCTCTCTTGCTCATCTGCCATCTCCACCACCATCTCCCTTTCAGCGTTGCCTTCTGCATTGTTTACGTGCGTCATTTTCTTTGGTTTTTTTTTTTTTGTTCTATTGCGATTGTTCTTTTCTTAGTCACAGAAAAATTGCTGCATTCTTTGCTTAATTTAAGTCTCTTAATCGATTGGGATCTGTTTTCTGCTTGATTCCCTTTCAAGTTGTACGAGTATTATGTAATTTTAAAGCATTTTTAGAAATTCTGCCAAGGCACTTTGGTCGTTTGTTTGGTGGTGTGGCTGGCGCAAGGCAGGGGTTGATTGTTCCCTTTGGCAGTCCTCGTATTTTTCCAGCAACTTTGTGTTTTCTCTCTTTGTGAGTCACATGATTTTCGTTATTTGATCGCGTTTAAATTTGCCATGATGCTCATAAATGTAAAACATTTAAATTAATTGCTAAATTAATGCGAATTGCGGAGTCACAGGAGAAAATGAATAACTGTTATGTCGATGGCGGCGCGCTCTCCAGTTGCGTTGCTGCTGTTACGCGCTCTTTGGCTGTTACTCTCTTTCTGTGAGCCACCCACTCTTTTCATTTTTGGGAGTGTGCGCACTAACGCTCTGAGCTCGTTAATTTATTATTTAAAGATTTATACAGAAACCCCGCTTGACTGCTCAATGTTATCTTTTGTTGCTTGTATTTTTAGCCATGAGCGCAGCTTGGAACCACCTCCCGTTCGCTTCTCTCTGAGAGGGACTCGGACTTCTTGCTTGGGCAGCGCACACACACAAAATGACAGATGCGACGCCAGCAGCGACTGAGCAGAACGACAGCGCAGCCAAGGCAGCTGAACAAAAACAACAATACAGGAGCAGGCAGCAGAGCCAGTCGCTGCCCGCAGCCGCGCAGCATTTGCGGTAAAAGGCGTTTTTCCAGAGTGAAAGGGAAAATGGCAATGGCAGGGAAAACATTTGGGAAAACATTTTTGGCCAATTCTATGGGAAATTTACGAAACTTAAAAACTCGACTCTGGGACTCACATGTGCCACAAAAATTAACACTGCTTCTCCCTCACTCTCTTTATCGCCCCGTCCCCGTTTCACTTCACTTCACAACAAAATATAATTTCCGCCGCAAGGCTGATCGCGGCCTTTCCAGGTCCAAAGGTGAGAGACATTAACAAAAAACGCGAATAACTTCGAATCTAGGCAGCAAGAAGAAGACGGAAAGAAGCAACAAAAAAACTGCGCTCCAAACTCGTGACGGAGCACACACACACCTATACACCAGAGTCACACACACAGATACACTCGCAAGGGGCCACGGGTGGCTATTTTTTTTTTTTTCTTCAGCTTCTTTTGCGTGTTGCTGTTGTTTGTCTTTAGCTTGCAATTTATCAATTTTGTTTTTGCTCAAATCATCTTTAATCACACATTCACCTACACAATGGGGTTTCCTATGGCTTTTGCATTGACAATTCTCCACAAATTGTTTTAATTTTTGCGTTTAACCTTTCGCAATTCGCACAAATTGTGTAATTTACAGATGCACGAGCGAGTCTGAAAAAATCCGATGAGCGTCCGAGCGCGATGTTGATTTCGTTTGGTTCCGACTGCTTGGATTCGGTTCCAAGTTCAATTGAGTCAGTTTATGTTCACATGAACTGGCGCTGAGAGTGAATGAATTTTTTGTTTGTATTGGAATCCGTCTACCATCCCCACAAATGTGGGATTGAGAGCGCGAGAGAGAGAAAGAGAACGGCACTCGGACAATGCTCTCTGGGCGGCAGTATTGCCAGCATAGATAAAGTAAGAAGAGTGCTAACCGATGGGGTTCGACTAGGCGATACTACGTAAATAGAATTGTCTATTATTATTATAACCAGACAATTAAGCTTTTTGAGACACACTCTTTAAATCGTTACATTTGAAGTCCCCAACAGAGCATACCTCTGTTGAAACATGAAACTTTCAAGGCAAATGAAGCGAATAAACGAGCAATACCGTCGCCGATTGTTTGTTTATCTTGGCCATATATCATATTTCCCATTCGGCAGGTAGAGATGAACGAACGACAAGCATAGTCGTAAAACTTCAACCGAAAACCGGAACCATTTTCCACATAAACCTAATCCCATTCATGAACAGGGCGCGAAAAACTACGTGGGTAATTTTCCGCGTAGCAAACCCAGACAAATTTCCACGAAAGTTGGACCAAAATCAGGTAAGAAGATCTCTCGAGTTTAGCGTGGGATAGATGGTTGATGGATTAGTGAGGAGGATGCACTACCCAAATTACAGTTCTTCCGGACTGCATTTAAAAATTATTGAAGCTCTAGTTTCAAGAGATTTTGTGGAACGAAAAGTGTACTCCACAGGCACGTGATCGCTGGGGACCATAAAAACAACTCAAATTCTAGAAAACTCAATTAGTTTACGTCTGCGGTTAACAGGTATTTTTTATATACCCCATATACATATATGAAAGTATACATTAGTAGGTACATAAATAATTTTTTGATGGCACATTGTGTGGACCTGTCGTTGATGATGATTGTTGCATTCTCTTCTATTGAGACCCAAATAAAATGTTTATTATGATGAAAGAATGTTTTTTTTTGAGACCACCAACGGATCTTGGCGAACCATTAACGAAAGTAGAGAGCAGATAACTCTAAAGATTGAGATGTCTATTAGATTAAATTATTTATAACGTATGAAACTTATCCTAAAAGGCATAGGATTGAAGTAATTTTCTTTCAGAACGACACTTAATAATTTTAACTATATTTTAGGTCAACAGTTTTGTAAATCATCACCATAAATTCATATGGAGTTGGCACAAGCTTTTCATATGCTGACATTAACAACGGATTTGGCATTGGCACATGCGTATATTACCATATTTAATTACGACAATTTATCCTTATCTACCACCCATATCAAATTTATTGAATATACCCTAGACACTACCGATCCAATCTCGAGTGTTATCTATGAGTACTATAGTATAATTGTTAGATAGTCATACAGAAACTAAAAGAAGAAAAAAACGATCCTCTCAGGGAAACCCAAGTGCTTTAGAAAGCTTTCAAGCTTTCATTATATTTGGAAAGTAATTAAGTTTAATTACTTTGCAAGTCATAAAACGACTCATTTAATGACTCTTCTGTTTTTTTTTTGGCAGCTTTACGCTAATAGAACTTCATTAATGTGATTTCCGTAAGAGGGTCAGGTGTTTTGCACATAAATTGCCTAAAATTTTCTTCTGAATCAATGACAAAAGATAATGTACCTGGCAAGCACGTGATAAGAGCGGAAAAAAGCTGCTCTTCTCATCAGAAAACTAAAATGATTATAAAATTGTGCTGATAAGTCGGTTAGCGACCATAAGATGAGATCATGTGGCCTCATGTCGCTCAACGAATTTTAATAGTTTTTTTCTAATGAACTTGCTAAAAGCCTAGAAGACGATTATAGGAGAGAGAAATTGTCTAACAAATTGTACAAACATCAACATTATAGACGATAGAGAGGGCTCTAATAACATACCCTCACGATCAATAACAGAAAATGGAAAACAAATACGAGGTCTTAAATTGAAAAAGCCATAAAATGGAGAACGAAAATAAATAAAAGGCCGAAAATACTATAACGCCCGGCGGCCTATGGTGCAAAAAAAAAATGGTTGTCGTGTTTGTCCACACGTCGACCACAACAGAAACAAGTCAAACAAATGGAAAAATTAAAACAACAAAGTCTATTAATTGGGAATACAATAATCTTTTGATAAGATACGCTTCGGGGTAACAAAATACTTGGCTAAAAGGCGAGGGATATGCAGGCTTCGCACTTGCTGCACTTCAGCGATAAGTTAAGGCAACCAGTGAGGCATCCAGAGTGAATAGAGAGTTTCTATCAGAATTGTGACGCATTCCGCAGATAGGCTCTACTTGTTTAACTCAAAATGTGACCCTGAACTTCGAAAAAAGTGAGACCATAATACCAAAATAAATAGGTCTTAAAATATAAATGATAAAGACTACAAATTATAGAAATTGGTTTAGTTTTTAGAGCCTTTACAGTCGAATGTCTGTTCAGATAATCCATCTATACTCTCAAGATTTTAGTAAAGGGTGTTCGTGTCCCTGCACTATAATCTAAACTATTCCTAAGAACTATTGCCGTACGATCTGTAATGTTATCCAAAGATACTGCCCAAATGTACCCTAGTGCCACAGGGTTATTAGATCACATCAAGTATAGAAGATACACAACTGAATCAGTTATCAGATCGTTACCATTTTCTAGTTGCGTTTGATTATCTCATTGTCAATTATCCACTAGAGTTCATTATCATTTCAAGAGTACTTTTATACGAATAGATTTAAGTGCAAATAAATGCAACAATTATCAGGCATTATCCAATCGAAAAAGGCCATGTATTCTATTTTTCAACGCACAGCAAAGACTAATCATTGAACGATTAATGGTTATTCCTATTCCCAGCAATATTTAATCTTACCTTTATTTGTCAGCAGGCTGCGTACAACTTTGAGACAGTTTTTGCCATCGACATTCTTGGAGGCATAGTACATGAGCTCCCAGGAGCTGGCCGCCTGCAGCAGCTCTGCCGGCAGCTCAAACAGAGGCGCCTCCACGGGACCCGTGATGGGACTCTGGGCAGGTGTCCCTGGAACACTGCTCTTGCGCTCTCCCTTCGAGGCAAAGTCATGGAGCAGGGCCAGCAAAGGTGCAGACACGGACATCGCTGAATCTGTGGTCTTTGGCGCAGACTTCATTTGCTTCACAATGCAGCGCATGCGATCGACTGCCTCCAATTCGAGTTCCAGCCGCGTGGGCGGCGGCTCAATACCGTTGACAATCGCCGACATGGAAGAGCAGGAGCTTGAAAGGCTTTCAAAGTCGGAGCTGCCACTTATTTCCTGTAGCTTGTCCACCGTACGCTGGCAATTCGTCTGCAGATGTTTGCCCAGCAGTTTGTAGGTGTTTTCAAAGTGTTTGCTGGCATTGGACGGTTGCAGGGTGATGGTGGCATTGAGGGACTCTTCGGATGTATTGGACTGCAGGGAACTGCTCGCCTTGATGGCTGTCAAAGATGGATCTATGAAATCATCTTCAGTCCTCAAAGTGCTATTCAATTGAGTTCCATTCTCAAAACTCTGGCTATAGTCGTCCGCATCCTGTTCCGTAATGATGGGCAGATTGTCGACTCTCTTGAGCAGACATTGGCCGCCATGTGACTGGTGGTGTTGTGGTGATTCTTGTAGATTGCTTTTACTTCGATATACAGTATTGAGCAGTGGCATTTTGATGAACTTGCATATCGTTTTTTTTTTAACGAAAACTATAACTTTTATACGAACGTTGACACACAATTAACGTTTAACTGGGAATTTATTTGTTTTTTGTTGCTTTTATCTGTGCTTTTACAGTTTGGCTAATAGGGAAAATTATGTGGTTTTTTTTTTTAGTATTGAGTAATTTATCAATAGTCGTTGACGATTACGATTGTCAATGTTACAGCTTGCTTTAGTGTTGAACAAGTTTTCAATGTCACAGGGTTGTCAATACCCGCTCTGCTTTAGTGTTGCACAAGTTTGCGATGTTTAACGGGACACATTTGCACTGCTACTAAAATATTGCGCATTTTAAAAATTTCCTGTCCGTCTTTCAGACTGCCAGACCCCTAAGATAAGCACTGAAATCTTTATCTTTACGACCGGAATTGCAATTATCAAATCATGTATATAGACTATTTCTTTTTTTTCTTGTATTATTAGGCAAGCGTCAGCTTCCACAATCTACCGAAAGTTGTTTTTCCTCCAAAAATACAATGGCAAATTGCAAATATGTTTATGCACATAACTCTCATTCATTAACATACAATGGGGAGACCGACAAAAAATCACAAATATTTCAAAACTCTGTCCTAACACCACGACCACGACACCCAGCCACAAGAGTGGACGACAGACTGTGGGTATATCATGTTGGAAATTTAGTGGCTAGCACTAGAGAAGAAAAGCTGGAACATAAAACTCGTTTCCATAAATTAGTTGGACTAGCCGCCGGAATGAGTTGCATTGTGAAGGTAGCCCAAGCGAGGCATCCCTCCTGCATGGCCAAGATCACGTAGGTCGTCGTCTTCGGGATGAAGTCGTAAATCAACCAAAGAGAATACCTCTAGACAGAGTCGTGGGCTGGGCCCAGGAATGCTGCTGCCTGTTACATGGGGAAACAGTGCATCTTAAGAAGCTCTGAGGCAATGGGCAATGCTCAGCCGACTGGTCCATAAATGCCTCTCTGCTCTCAATAGCCATTCGATCATAATTTATATGCCTAGCAGCAAAGTGAAAGAAAATTGCAGCCCACAGCTGAGATCTGCGCTAGAAACAGAGACGCTAAGTCTGCTAACGGTTGTGCCAAATGAACGGCAAACATGAGATGACCAACATAAAAGAGCTGCTACCAACTCAACCTAAACAACAGAATCAGAAATCAACAGAAACAAAAAAAAAAACACAGAAAAACTAAGAGAAGGAGATGATTCAACTTATTCGAGTGAACGTCTTTCGGATTTGCGTTGATTCAAAGTTGGAAGGGAAAATATGAAGCTACAAAAAGCGTAATCGTCCCTGCAGTTTGAAAGTGGCTAAACCTCATTTTGAGAGCCAGTCTCCCGCCGATTCCAAAGGTTCATCGACATTCACAGAGCGTAGCTTCCATTTGTATGCATTTTATGAGTCACGCACCTTTAAGGCAGAGCCACAGGTTGTCAAAACTTATGCATAAATCACTTTATCGCATAGATAAGTAATAAAGCATATGACAAAATGAGCAACGACGAGAATTCACACAAATTGATTGGTTGATTGACAAAACAAAAATATGAAATGAAATGAAATGGAAAAAAAAATTAACAAACGAGCCGGACCAACGGCGGCTTGGGGTAATTATGTAAAGACAGCTGAATAAATAGCTGAGGGAAAAGCAAAATAAAACGGAATAAACACACACAAAAAAGGCCAATCAATTCGTACACGCGAAAATGAAACGAAAACGGCATCAGTAACAAACTCTTTTTGGTAGTGTTATTTTTCTATATACATATAAATATATATTTTTCGTAGATTTTTGCAATGTATTTGGTTCACATCAACTTTCACAAAAATATGTTGTTCGTAATTAATTAATGGCAAAAGTTGGGTGCATTTAAGCAGCATTTTTATGGTATGGTCACCATGGGAGAAGAGTAGTGTAGTCATGTTTTGTTGAATAGCAAGCAGAGGAGTATTTATAAACCCTGACCAGCACTTTCATAAAGCTGCCAAACAAGAGATGAATATGTGAGACAAAACACGCTCTCCAACACTGATAACGAAGTTCAATGTCCACACAAGTTGAATGGGAATGGGATTTAAAGGGACAGCAGAAGAATAGATTGAATGGATGGGCTACTAGAAGATAAGCTGACTTCCCTTAGCAGCTGTATTGATACAAGAAACGTTGACCAGCACTATTATTCCAACACAAGATGATGCTAACCAACACCATCAAGGAAGTTCAATGTCCGCTCGCAATTAATATTGAATGGCAGGCTACAGCCCATGTAATTGTTGTATCATATGGCAATTACAAACAAAAAACGCTTTGCACTACATTTGGCTGCAATAATTATCGGGCCGACAATGTGAATGTCCTCCCCAATAGGCCAGTGACACACAAGACACAGGAAAAAAAGAGGCAGAGGTACAGAAATAGCAAAAGCCAACAGCAAAAACAAATACAAATATGTGACAGCTTGGACGAGACGAGAGCGCCTTCAGGTGCAGTGTTGCGAAATGACGCAATGAAAGTATGTCACCCCGAAAGCAAAAAAAAAAAACCAACAAAAATGTAAACCATTTGTGTCTGCGCGTCCATTTCGATAGGGTTTTGCATTGCAAGAAGTATGTTATATGGCGGGTCATAAGCGGCTTTGGGGTTTAACAAACGTACCTGACACAAATTTGTGCCATTTAGTTTTGGGAGGAGCTTAGCACCAATAAAAATACAATTGCGCGAGATACTATTACCTGGGCAGTGGCCATTTAATGTGCCCAATAGCTTACACACAAAACAAACATTTACGGTGAGCATTAGTGGTCTTCCCTTAACAGTTAGTTGTTGACTAGAATTAGAACAACTTAATGGACTGCGAGCTAACTTCGTTTTGCGAGCTTTTCAAAAAGGCAGAAAAAGAAAATTAGTTTCTCTAAGAATACCATCAAAACAGACTTCAAAATAATTATACCAACCAAATCAAATGAAAACCAATTGCAAGAGGGCCCTTGATGACTGGCCAGTGACACCCCTCATACACACACACACACACACACACACCACACATGCCACACGCGCGCACAAACACCTAGCACCCAGCAGCGCGTATGTGACTTTTGCGGTTAATATTCTGCGGAACACTTGATGAGTGGCGAGAGTATGACTATAATCAACGTAACGCTTTTTTTCAACACGCCAGATAAACCGTTGATTGATGCGGAAGAGCCACTGGATGATAATGGTGATCAATCAGGCCAAACAAGTGCTGGGAACCGGCTAAAGAGCAATTTCAAAGAACTGGACTAGCGGCATTCGTGCAGTGGTAGTGTAACTGTAACTGTAGATGGTAAAATTACTCAACAAACACACACACATGAGTAAACAGCTGTTTGGGTGTGGGGAGGAGAGGAGGAATGCCATAGACAGACAGGAAATTCCGATTGAGAGCGAACCGAAACGAATGGCGCTCCTTATCAGCAGTAGCGGCGTCAGAAGCAGGGGAGAAGGCGAAGAGGCCAAAAGACGAATAGAGCTGCTTATGGAAAAGCGATTATGTAAAGAGCGTCGCGGCGTGCATTGAACAAATTGAAGAAGACGTCGTCATAAGCAAACAAGAACAAATTAAGCTGACAGACGGGGGACAAGGCAAGCCCTGCCCTGAATAGCCCTGCCCATGGCCTTACACACACACACAACACCGGACAAACTTGATGTAAGAGTCAGCTGCCACCCACAAGCCCATTCATTAAACACGCTCCCTTTTCAATGTTTACAACAGCAACAATTTTCTTCTACATAATTCACCAGCGAAAATGAAATAAAAGAAATAAGTAAAACACACTCACACACACACGCACACATGAACAAAAGTTTCTTGTAGTTGTAGTTGTCCTAAAAATAAATTTCAATTTGTATGACGGCACGAATATCTTCCACTTGGAGAAATTCCAAGTGTTTCGTTTTGGTTTTTGGCACACACATGTATTGTATGTATGAATAATCCAACCAAATGTGTATAAATAATTTTGCGTTAATGATTTTCGCTTTTGCCTTTGGCACACATTTCACTGCTGTATTTTTGGCAATTATTTTACGCGCGCACGCACAATTTCACTGCCAACAAACACACACATTTCTGCATTCGCCACTTGCACTTGCTTCTTGTCTGGGTATTTATGTTATTTCTGTAATTTATTAAAGCAGGCCGCCGCTTACATTTTCGTTTTGGCACACAATCAAAATTTTGAGACGCGCAACGCGGCGCCGCCGTTCCGTTCACTAACAATTTTTAAATTTAACACACATGCACGCGGAACATTCAACCCGGCGACCAAAACTAAAATGTCCGGCGTTGGAGCCCAGACCAGCTGTTTGGAGCTGTCAAATTGGAGCACCAATTGGTTCAAAAAACTCAAATGAACCTGAAACCAGTTCTTTATTGAGTTTGTTCTTGAGTGCTTTGTTGCGTTACGAGTGTAACCATATAAATCACACTCAAAAGAGAGCGCAATACTCAATTTCTCGTTTAATGAGCACATGTCAGCGCACATTTGTGTGAATGGCAAGAAGCAGCTGTTGCTTAACAGTTTAGCAACACTGTCTACGGCAACAAGTGTTGGAAGGGGGCAAAATGAGCGCCAAATTTGAATAGAGTTAAATTGGAATTGGTTTAAAAATTGGTTTAAATAAATGTATACATGGAAACTTATATATATGCCTGTACTATGTATGCCTGTCTATGGAATTTTGCAAGTCTTATAGCTGTAAAACAGAGTCTTTCCTTTGTTATAAATATACGTAAAAATAAATCAATCAATGCTCTCATTCCCCTGCAATCAATCAAACCATTAAATCATCTTCAATTTGTTTCTGCTCAAAATATGAATAAACATCTTTCAAAACACTTTCAAACGATCTCCTAAAATAGATTCGCATAAATGTCACAAAATTTATGAACATTTGCGACAACACAAAATGGCACTGGCATGTGCAACAACAATAAATACTATTTGGAATATAGTATATTTCGCAATTTATTTTTAATCCACTTTCTTGCGTAGATAAAAGAAAATTGCGTTCTGCCTCAAAGAAACGTTTGGGTAAACAATATGAAAAATGCTTAAAAAAGCATAAAAAAAAGTATGGAAAACAAAGGAAAGGAAGAATGATGACAGCTATAGGCAAA